TCTTTCCCTTAAACAAACACATATATTTTTAGACATTTTTCTGTATTTATCTTTCTTTCCCTTTACCTTGCTGATGTAAATCATATCTCAATATTGTCTCTGTTTTATAATTATGCTGCAGTATTTTGTGTTATATTATTAAAAACAAGTAATAATCATATATATGTACCACTAAGATAATAAAATGGAAAACAGTTAGTACATCAGGATAGCTGTAGCCCATTAGAACTGGAATTTCGTTTCTGCTCAGTTTGGCTTGCATTTAATATCCTCTAATTTTGAAGAATAAGCAACTGGAGCATATTCCTACACTTATGAATAAAGCCATACTCTGTTCTGCACATGAATAAATCCGGGCAGTCATTTTATTGTCATCAAAGAGCATTTTTATTCATTGTCCACAAATGTTCTTGGTAATCTATGAAAGAGGCCTCGGAATTAAATGAAAATAGGGCATCTTTCTCAGCCCTCTCACTGGCAGAAATACATAGTTAGCATTCATCAGCAGCTCACAAGTGAACTCCTATAAAGGCTTGTCTACAGACAGATGTTGTTCCAATTGAGTCTTTAATCGGCCCACTTGCATTTGTGCAGTATGATATGACCTTTAATTATACGATCAAATACTACTTTTTCCACAGGGCAGCTGCCTCATTCAGTGCACAAGATGGATGATAGTGCCCTGGCAATTGAACTAGGCTGGGTAGAAAAGGAGTTTGCTGGTATCTCAGCTTCATAAGATGAAGATGGTATTGCAGTTTGATGAGCATTCTCACTACTTTTAATCTTTCTAGCCCAGCAGACAAACAGGCCATTACCTACCACACAGTTTTATTCACAAGCACAGAGATTTAACGTAAGAACAGATGTTTTGATTGAAGCCATAGATTTCTGACAGCAGTCAGAAGTGGATGCATAGGGAAAAAGTATAAGAAGAAGGCAATCCTTCCTGCAGGTATTCTGCCAATCACCCCATTCTGGTGGATTAGGGATTTTCTAATCTGTAGGGGTCTTTAATGTAGCCAGTAACCCTCAGCTGATTTCTCTTCACCAGCCTCCCTTTAAGCCCTTTAAAGTCCTTTTAAACTTTCACAACTTTTGCCTTCTGTGGCAAGTGTTTCCATGGCTCACCTCCCCTCGTTTGGTTTAAGCCTGCTATGTACTAGCTTTCTGCATAGGAAGAGCTAGTGAACAGTCAGGCCGTATCCATTCTCTCTGTGCAACTCATACCTACGTCACATATTCTTCAAGATATTATAAAATCCTAAAGGATGCTGAACAGAAGCCAGAGGATGTATCAAAAGTCCTATAAAGCTTGTAGCCTAGTTGGCAGCCCTGGCTTCTGTTGTTATCCATGATAGCTCGGTCTGCCCGTCTGTGCCACAGTCAGATATAGACGGACTCTGCAGTATTTCTGCTTCAGTGGCTGTTGGAAAAAGTAGATTGTGTTGAATGAGTGAAACAGAAAATTTCAGGAAGGGTTCTTTTGGAAAAATTAAATGCCACTGCAGACAACTGGATTGTATCTCTGATGCAGCCACAGAATTTCTATTTAATGCTGAGCTAGTCCCGTAGACTAGACTTTTCCCAGATGGCCATTAATTATGTGTTTGAAATCATGGGGTTTGATTTGTAGAAGTGCTGAGCACTCACAGCTGCAGCTGACATCATTGAGAGCTGTACTTTATACATGTGAAGTGCTGTTGAATGCCAAGTTCCCTGAAAAATCAGTCCCTTTGCATCTCAGATCAGCCACTGCAATCAACAGATACTTTTGACCTGAAACTCTCATGTTCTGTTTCCCTATTTATAGTGGAGTACCACTTTATCTCATCAGAGCATTATCCTAATAAGGTTTCTAAATTCTCAGGCCCTATAACAAAACACATACAGTGCAGCCCACTAAAATAATAACCAGGTGATTCAGAGGGGTTTCCATCCTGTGTGGGGTATATAAAGTTAGGGTCACAACCCAAACAACTGACAAAACAGGATATGGCATGGATATCTGCCCGTTCCGTTGGCATTACCCGTTCTGGGCACTGATCTTCTGGAATAAATAATATACTGATCACGTAACTGCCAACTCTTGTTATTCCCCAGAGGCCAAATTCAGATTGTTCAAGTAGCCTTAATTCTGGCGTCTCCTATTTTTCCTATATTTTGCCAACACTCAGCGGCGTGTTCGTGTAGACAACACATTTGAGACTTCAGATCAACCTGATCTGCACTGCATTTCAAAATTCTTGTAAAGTATTTTTGTTTGCATCTTGCCTTCCAGAGAATACTTGCAGCAACAAACGTCTGGACCTTGTCTTCATCATTGACAGCTCTCGCAGCGTCCGTCCGTATGACTTTGAAAAAGTGAAGGAGTTCATTTTAACCATCTTGCAGTTCCTGGACATCAGTCCTGACACCACCAGAGTAGGCCTGATTCAGTACGGCAGCACGGTCAAACATGAGTTCTCTTTGAAGACCTTCAGGAGGAAGCAGGATATAGAGAGAGCAGTAAAGAGAATGATGTACCTGGCAACCGGCACCATGACTGGACTGGCTATTCAGTACGCAGTGAACATCGCATTTTCAGAGTCAGAAGGAGCTCGACCTCTGAACCAGAACGTGCCTCGGATTATCATGATAGTGACAGATGGGAGACCTCAGGATCCAGTGGCAGAGATTGCTGCTAAAGCTCGTAACTCAGGAATCCTGATTTTTGCCATTGGAGTGGGAAAAGTGGATATGAACACGCTGAGGTCCATTGGGAGTGAACCGCATGAAGAGCATGTGTTTCTGGTTGCTAATTTCAGTCAGATTGAAACACTGACCTCTGCCTTCCAGACGAAACTTTGTGGTAAGGCATTTATCTATAGATTTGACTGCATAGGTGAAAGTAAAACTCAGAAAGACATCATGGGCTATCACAACTTTTTTTTTTTTTTCACATGGAACCTAATCTGTTCGAATGTCCACATTGAAAAAAGGGAGACTAGCCAGAGAACATTCAGAAGAGTAATCATACATATGGGAAAAAGCTAATTCTATTGCTGAGTGCCATAAAATGTGATCTAATTCCTAGTGGTCATAAGCAGTGAGACAAATATACATATCATGATTTTCCTATTCATTGCATAATAGCAATGAAATTACATTCCTTTGCCATTTAAATAGCAGATAAGTTATTTCATCTATTGATTTTAAATGTGTTTTTCCCTTAGTACTGACGCTTTAAACTGATAAACATTATGGTCTTTTGGCTAAAAAAAATCCCATGGAGGTCATGGTATTCCTCTTCCAAAGCTTAAGTAATAATTACATATAAACACTTATCTCTGACCATGCCTCATGACTGGAAGTGAGACACAGAGACTCAGTAGCTTTTTTATTCTTTTCATTTTAAAAACAGAAAGTTAGAAAAAGCCTTTGCCATAGTATTATTCATTCATACAAAAAAGTAAATAATATTTTAATAGTTATTACTTTCCAAGAGAGAAATTTCTTCCATATGTGATTACCTGATAAGAAATTACCTTTTAAAAATCTTGTGGCATACCTCCTTCATTGGACTGATGGAGAAGATCTATTCCAATCTATATTTTAAATAGAATTTTCTATTTGCATTTTTTACTCAGATAAGTATGAAACATTTTCATACAAATTTGGCATGAAACTCTGGCATTTTCAGCAGAGACCAGAAAAAGGATGCATGATGATGTTAAATGCTCACTCGTCCTTAAGGGTGCTTTTGCCAGAAAAGAAACTGGGGCTTATTGTCAGGGTAGTCTGGAGAATTTTCCTTACTTGATCTTTTCCAAAATTGTTTCAAAGAGCAACAGAGCTCCAGCTGAACTGCATCAGCACAAAATACCATCACAGACATTCGTCAGAGAATAGATTTGTTCCTGTTTGTTCCTTGCCATATTATTAGCTGGCGTGGTAGGACACATTTAAAAACAAAAGAAAAGGACTAAACTAAATGCAGACTGAGAGTTTACATGGAGTGAACAGCAAATGTTACAGAACTTCATTTTATTGGATTTTTAATTGCATTTTAGAAATCAATCCAGTACAAGTACTATTTACACTGGATAACAAGCTTATTTCTCCAACTAGGCAGTGTCCAGTAAATGTTGTATAGTTCACTTTTAATCCAAATACACATGAGCCTTTATAGAGCCATCACCCCTTCCAGATGGAGGAGTATGGAAGGGACAAGGATAGTTGCTGACTCCTCTTCTCAGAGAGTGCCTCCACAACATTTGCTGTTTCAGGAATTGAAGGTGAGATCCAAAAAAGCACTTAAAAACCCGGGCCCAGATTCAACGAAGAATTTAATCTGTTAGTGTCCTATGGATTTCAGCTTCAAGGACTAAATAGCGAATAGGATCATTAACGTTTTGTGGAATGTGGGCCCTAAAGCAGCGTTCCGCTTGTTGAAGAGAGCATCTAAACATCTGCTAGCCCCTCCTCCCAGAGCACTTTTCCCAGGAAATATGGTCAGTTTTTTAAAGTTCTGCTCAGTGGGGGCACAGAGGAACACAGCTGTTGCTGAGCTGAACATATAGATGCCTTGTTTTTTTTCCTAAAACAATCAAGACATCCCTTTAGTTAAGTCTCCTGAGACCCAGTCTGCTAGGTTTCATGCTCTGGAAGAAGAGCTGGACTCCTGAGTTGCCCTTGTGCTTTTGTGGTTCCCATTAAGATAACAGCAAAATCTGGCCAAGTGATGAGGCTCCATGGAGAAAATAAAAAGTAAATGTAATTAACCTCTATTTTTCCATGCGTGGCAGAGATTCCCCAGTACTTGGCAGGTAAATTCTCAAAGAAGCTATTGGAACCGAGTGTGCTTCATTCCCTTGCTAAGGCAAACTTTCCCTACGGGTGCTGCCTCTGGCTGCTAAAGATTCGAGGATGTCAGACACAACAGCTGAGGCCAGGGAATCCCAGTGCCCTCTTTTTACTACCAGTCAGCAAGGTAAAGGAGGAAGAAGTATCCTGGCAAATCGGAGGTTTGAGGTGAGGAATGAGACCAGCAATGAGAACTCAGAAGGGAAACAGAAATGGGGAGAGAATCCAGAAAAGGAGGTGCAGACTGGGTAAAAGAAGAGTGGGAAAGACGTAGAAGTTGGGATGGAGCAGTCAGGAACAAATAAAGTTTTTGTCGTTCTCCTGTGATAGTGGCGTTATCCCCATTTTACGCTGGAAGAATAGAAGCACAGAAACAGGGTTAAAACCATCACAATCACCCAGTAATGTTAGCAATTTGACTCAGTGCAGCCCATGGGCTAATTTTCTGGAATATTTAGCATTTTTTGGAGTAATGTGGCATTAATATAGCACTGCATTCCCTTCGCTTGCATCTGAGAGCCCTTCATTCCTGCAAACTCGGATTCCGGCGTCTCTAGCTGAGCACGCAGGACGCAAAGATCCTGATGTTATTAACTTGTCCAGAATCACGTCAGGGCCCTATGACACAGGCAGGAATCAAATCCAATTTGCAAGGCTCGCATTCAGGTTCCTTAATTAGGAGATCAGCTGTTCTGTTATTTCAGTCTTGTCCATCAAACAGCTGGTGCAACAAACGTGGCAGAGGTCATACAGACAGCAGCCTCTTTCGCCGCAGAGATCTGACCGATGACCAGAGTATTAGTGATTCCTTTAAATGGATGCAACAGAGACATATTTAAAAGTGCTCCTTCGGTTATAATAAGGTATATCTGATATTGAAAGCTACTGACAAGTAGCCAGGAGGAAACTTATGTTTAGAAAGTGTCAGAGATCATGAACTTCATTTTCAGGAACACAGAAACGTTAAAGGAAAAGACAAGAAGTCCCAGCAGATCTGCATTCACAGAAACAGAAGTTCCTGGGGAGTTTTAGTATGACAGAAAGTGATGAGTTCCAAAAGGCTGATTGAGAGATTTGGAAACTGTGGTTGTTTGTGTACTAGTGATAAATGCACAACTCTGGTAGCCAGTCCAAAGGCTGGATACATAGTATATATTTCAAAACCACAATTTTTTTTTAAGTAGGTAAGTACCACATATACCACATGTTAAGATATTTATCAAGCTTCTGTTGTGGCTGTTAGAAGATTACTATTGGATATCTATTCCATAAATTTTGAGGTTTGTCAACCTGAGACAGTAAGGAGCATATTAATCCTTAGTTCTTTATTGAACAAAATACATTCTTTTCTACGTGGTGCTCTCTGAGAAGGAATTCACATTATATATTATAGAGATGACATATAAGCAATGCTCCAGTGGAAAGAAAATATCAGGGAAATTTCTTAATTCTCTCTCTGTTGCATTTTACTACATGCTGTGGAAGACAGAAAAAAATAAATATTATGGGGTATAGCACCTTGTAGATGCATGACCTCACTGTACTCATATATTGCTCGTATGTTTCTCAGTATTAATAGTTAAGCAAGCAAGATTCTTCATCGAGATGTCTTCTAGTCGTTGCACTTTATTATTCTGCAGTGAGGTTATTTTCTTCATTCAAGAAATTAGATGTTCTCTAGAACAGTTTGTGTTTAAAGTTCATTTATGTTCTAAATATGAATGTGGCAGGTTTGTTTCATTGTGTTCTTAGGACCATCAAGCAACTAGTGCTTCCAGATAGGCTACTGTAAATTTTTATGTTGTTAATATCTCCATTCCACGTGCAATTCCATGTCCAAAAATATGCCACCAATGTCAACCACGCAGAAAATATCTACATTCATACTGTTGTTAGGAATAAATATATATTGCTATTTGTTAAGGATTTTTTTCACAATCAGTTACGGGTTTAAGCTTCTTTTTGTCTTGACTGTTGATATTTACTTTAGAAATTCTACGTGACTTCAGTAAAGTTTGTAAAAACTTTTTTTTATTTAGTTCTGACTACAAGTAAGTAGTGCTAGCAATTAATAAACTTTTACCTTTCTTTTTTCAGTGCCCCATATGTGCAGTATAGTTGAGCATCACTGTGATCACTTCTGCATAAACACCCCTGGCTCCTACATATGCAGATGTAAACAAGGATACATTCTGAATGCTGACCAGAAGACTTGCAGCAGTATGTTATCTTTTTTAACTTCTTTTCTCTCTCACATCACCAAAATGTGCTTAACATTACATATCTTTTGAGTTGGGTTCATAAAGAGGACTGAGCTCAGTATACAGTTACTGTTGATCATAAGAAAGAATTTGAAAAGGCAAAGTTGTATCTTTTTCCAGTTTTTTGTAAATGAGAAAGTTCTCATAAACCTTTCTAAAAGACATCACGTTAATTTTTGTAAATGACTATGCAGAAGTACACTGTAACGAGATAAAATTGTACTGGAATTTTAATGGTGTAATAAGTTCAAGAATGAAGCAACACCTAAACAAAGAACTGCTTTATCTTCTGACATGTAGTGGGCTTACTACTTTAGCATCCAGGCCTGATAGCAACCAGATGGTATAGAAAAGGTGCAATAAACCCCATACTAGACAACTGTGAAATAACTTGCCTTTCAGAAAATTTTTCCTAACTTCTACTTGAAGTATAAGGACTTAAAACCTTTCAGTCAGTAGTTTCAAGTCTTGTTTATTGCACTTATTTCCCTCTTAAAAAGGGCTGCCTTTTTCATTTTTAAGCAAATGACTTTAATTATAGTTTGTAATAACAAACTGTACCGCAGTTTAGTTATGATCTTTGTAAGCAGCGTTTTTTTTATCTGTTTTAACTTGCTTCCTATTAATTAATAGCAGAGTACGTTAAATAGGTACACCAACTTTATTTCTGTGTCCACCGTGATTTTAAAAAAAAAAAACTTGTATGATATTATTGTTAATTACTTGTGGAAAATGTGCTTGGATAAAATTCACGAATTCAGGCCAAATTTGCCAAAATGACTTTAGCCAGAAGCAAAATTTTGGAAAACAGCTTTTCAGAAAACTGGAGGAGACAGTCTTGGTGAGAGCGTAAGATGTTCCCCCTCACAACAGATTTCTTAGAAATGACGTGAAGGACCCAGGCTCAAATCCTTTCTTTGCTCCTTAGGTTTTGAACTCACACGTTGCGTATCTCAAGAGAGCATCCTAAAACAAGGAGGTAGGCTAGGATTAAAGAGTTCTCAATCTCTGTCACTTTGCGCTGCATATTACATCAATATTTAACAGCCACTGAAAGAAGGAGATCTCAGTATCTGAGAGTACTCTGCTGCTTGGAGATTAGAGCCCTTACATGTGCGGTGGGACACCTGGTTTCAGTCAGAGCCTCAGTAAACAGAAGTGGGAACAAAAGAATATCAGCTCTGGAGCAATTTGGGTGTTCGCTCTGGAGTATGGAGGTGTGTGTTCAGAGCCTTTAGGCTACAGCAGGAAACAGCTTTTGAACTGTTCACCTCCTATGCAGTTGAGCTATGGGGCAAGCTAGTTTTAACAATCTTCGTTTTCTTTGTCTTTCCCACCAGCATCCCCTATCAAGTATATACATTTATCATATGTGTGCGTGTATCAGTTATAGGGGAATGTTTTGTGATGAATGGAACAAATTTAACACTTTATTCAGTTTTTTTTTTCTGCAGGAAGGACCAAAAAATTCAATTCAATCTGAAATTTTTTCTAATCATTACTTGGTTTGACAGCTGAGCCAAGACAAGAACACCGGCAAGAATCATCTTCCACACAGCCTATTCTCTATGCCTCTGCAAATTTGCTATGGCTCTTCAGAGAGAGCATTGTCAGAACCCCAAATGAGGGCTCCAACTATATAATTACATTTCAGTCATACTTGAACCTATTCTTTTCACTGCGCCCCTTTTTAAAATGCTTCTCATTTTAAGATATCTGTATCCTTTAAACCTCTCTTCTAAACCATTCTGATGATCTTCATTTTCACATAGCAAAGAACTTTTATGGAGGAATTCTTCTCCTTTCAACTTTCTGGAAATTATTTGACATTCAAAATTTCTCTTTTTTTTGAATTTACTCTCTCACATTTTCCCCTTCCTCACCCCTAAAATCATTTTTGACAAGTGAATTTTGTTGGTGTTCAAAACCAGGTAAATTTTAAATTAAAAGTATTAAGAATTCTTTCCTTATTGTGTCTTTAGGGTTTTTAGTATATTACATTTCCATAATTTTTATTAGCCAATAGTTCAGCTTTTAGGTGCTACACTGCTTCAAATTACAGATGAATGACACAAGACAGTTTTGGAATTGTGTACAGTTTTCCTACTGGGGGCACACGCACGGTAGCCCTTGATATGTTGCTTCTTTACCATTTTTCAAAGCCCATTGGTGCATTGTTTTTCTCTTTTTTCAGTCTTACATTAATATCCCGAACTTACCTGACATACATAGCTTGCATGACTCTATCCGTGCTTCGATCATCCATCAGATGATACTAGATTTCAATCAGCCAAATATGGAAGGGAAATGAGTCGTACAATGTGTCTCAGCCTACTTCTAATGGACCTTTTTCTTTCTCAGCAAACCATGAACTAATTTTAACAATTAACACTGGAAATCTAGTACCAAACGCCATCAGACTGGTTGTAAATGTGCCAGGAAAGTGCAAGTCGTTGGTGAAGGAGGGAAATGATACGGTAGCAGTCTAGACCAAGTCAGACCACGGTCTAAACACTCTCCAGAGAAGTAACAGAAATTCATGAGAAAAGGGGGCCAAACTTGCACAAACAGGACATTTTTCTTTCTGGAGGTAAAGGGAGAAATGGTGGTAGAAATGCCTACAGTTTATGACTATATTAGTCACTTTTGTGGACTGCTGATTTTCACAAGTACACAGAGACAATATGTTCCTCGCTTGACCTCTGTGTAAAATAATTCATCATGTTTATGCTAAGTGCCATACATAATCAACAGAAACCAGATGTATTTTTCTAAGTTTTGGATATATTTGTAAGCTCTTTCATGAACAAATACTTTCTCTACATGTTAACACTTTTTAAATAGTGCAGAAAAAAATAAGGTGTGTATCTAAAGTTATACTCTTTTCTTTCTTCTGCACCATTTTTCATGTTGTGAGAGTACAGAAGATCTCTATTCAATAGTTGAAAGCCCTTAACCGAATGGCATCAGTCAATGTGAGTTAGCAGCTTTGCTCCAGTCTGGAAAAGGGTGCATTTCTCTTTTGAATGAATGTCAGCTTTGTTCCTTAATACATTTCAGTATACCGCTATTTCTACAAAAATAATTTCCTTGCGTTAAAGGAAGAAAATCTATCACATATGTGATTTGTTGCTTTCCACATGAACAAAAGCGACTCAGCTGTCTTCTGGAACAAATCCAGGAAAAAACATTCTTTTGTCCAACATAAAATATTCTTACAATTATTTCATTAAGAAGTTTTTGCATATGTGCAAAGGATGAAAACACTATTGCTCTTTTCACCTACTCTCTATGTGGCCAAAGTCAATGCTATGATTCTAGAGGTTAAATAAATATTTTTAAATGTTTGTTAAAAGCTGAATTTCCCAAATTAATTTTTGACAAAAAGTACCTTGACCATCTTAGCTCCAGAGATCTCTGAAGTTGAGATAGTTAGACATTAGATGTAGTATATAATTAAATAATGATTCACAGGCTTCTGAGAAGGCTAAGGACTCAGGTGGACAAGTTTACATATACATTTTTTTTATTTTTTTGAATTGCAGAATAGATGCCCAGAAAAATGTAATGTCAAGGTTCAAGTGAATATTTCTAATATACCTTAATGGTGAAAAGTACTAGCAACATATAAGTGCTAAATCTTGTTTGTTTATTCAGAGTATTCCGTGCATTTTTTCAGTTTGTCATACCTCTAAGATCCAAGAGCATCTCACTAGGAAATCTCAGTTCTCTTCCTTAAAACCTGAGTCATAAAAAAACAAGGCTGAAAATGGCTGTCAAGATCTTAGTTTTCCCCAAGACAGGGTCAACTACGTGTAGAACAGCCTTGGCAGATATTTTTCTAACCTGTACTTAAAATTCTGCAGTGACAGAGGTTCCATGATCTCTGTGGGTGAGCACCCTTGCCAGAGCTTGGCTATCTTCACTATGACAAATTTTCCTTATGTCTAAATTAAGTGTCCTTTCTTATAGTTCCATCATAATACTTCGCACTTTATTAACAATAAACAAAAAGAACAATTTATTCCTATCTTTTTTATTGCAGCTATTATAGTTGAAGTCCATTACCACGTTTCCCCTCAGTTTTCTCCTCTGTAAACTAAACAAGCCCAGTTGTTTTGATTTTTCCTCATCTTGCTCTATCTCTGCCTGCTCATGAGACTGTCGTCTGGATTTTCTTCAGTTTATCACAGCTCTTTGGGAGTGTGGTGTCCAAATCTGGCTTCACCAAAGATGAACAGTGCTGAAGGTTGTGTTGCATGTTTTATGTATGGGAAGTTGAGCTTGCGCATTGCACAGATGATCTTGCACTTGGACTGTAAATGTTTATACTGCAATGCCTGTCATTTTGGGCAGGCAAACAATTGTATTTGTTTCTTTCAATGAGTTTTCAAAATCGTATTTTATCTTGGAAACGGTTAATGTCTTACAGGTAGTTTTCTAGAGAAGACTGGCTTTTGTCAGGCAATGGCTGTTTTGTAATCATGTATTCTGTGCTCTGTATTTGTTTGTTTAACTTAATCACTTAGATTCTTCTCTATATAGTTTTGAATGTTACATTAATGTACAATATAATACAAAAGAGCAAATGTGCCTGAAACAAGCTGCAAAATTATCTGTTTGTGGATCTTTATTCTTGAACAAGAGAGCTAAAGGACTGTTTATGTTGTTCATCATGTCACTTGATATAAAGCAGACAGTTTTAAAAGAAAATGAGTATTTGCCTGCCCATTTTCCTCAAATCTGCTCCAAAGGCCTTTTTTCTAGCTGTAAACAATAATTATATATTGAACAGTCTTTAGGTCTTATCCTGAGCATCACAAAACACTGCTTCCCAGAGATTTCACTGAGGAAACTTGGGGTTCTCAGATAGCTTCAGTCTATTGTAAAGAAAGCCAAATGTGTTTCCTTAGGACTGACCTCATTTGTTGTAGTATTTTTTCTGACAAAGCGGTAGTAAGGGGGGGAGGGTAACTTGCTGTGATGTTTTGCACAAAACTGAAAAATGATAAAAATCAAAAATTAAAGAACCTCAAGACTTTTGATCCCCTGGGTTCCTTGTATTTCCTTTTCTGCCCTCATCCTAAGTCTTTTTTTTTTAACATAAAATAAAAAAAAATTAAAAATGACTACAAAAATTATTTATTTCAAAAAAAACCCTGAAGTATACCCTTCAAACTTTTTTAGAGAAACATACAGTCAAGCAGCTACTGGGCCCCAGTAATAGTCATTGCCATTAGCTAAAGAAATGAGCTTTGAGTGGTCATTCTTCCAGGCATAAAAGTTTCACCATTTGACAGAACACCAACATATTCTGTGTTAAAATGAGCTCATCTCTAAAGAGCTCTTCATAGCTTCCTGAAATTTATTTTCAATCCATAGTCTAGGTGTGCAATATCAAAGATCAAAAAAATTCATATTCATGCAATTATGTTTTGTAGCTCAGGATCTTTGTGCTGTAGAGAAACATGACTGTGAGCAGATTTGCGTGAATACACCTGGGTCTTACGTCTGTCAGTGTTATGAAGGGTATGAGCTTGCTGCAGATGGGAAGAATTGTATCGGTGAGTATGAGATTAGCGATTCATATTTCTCTCTTGACATAAAACAAAGGGAAATTTAATATAAATTAATGTTCAGTTTAGCCGTAGGCGATGATGGGAAGCTCTCTTCTCCCGCATGGGTGGTGAGGAAGGATATGTATAGGCATGTTCCTAGGCTTTTTCTCATAATGTATTGTGTCTGGGGAAAAAAATGTGCCAAATAATTTCACTTGGAAAGTAAAATTGCTATTTTGAAAGAAAGTACCTGGTGTTTTATTCCAGATCCATGTAGGTGGCCAGCAATGTACTGGCATGGTACGTGTGACTATTAAAAAGCAAACAAAAGCAGACAAACTAGGTAGTACCTCTTCAGACAGAAGTTAGATGTGGAAAAACTTGAAAGTGGGCAATTGCTTGCCATGTGTCACTTGTTTTTACGGTCATGCCAAGAGAGCTTTCAATCTCTGTTTCAGTCAGATGGCAGATCAGAGGTAGTCCCCGTTAAGAACCCATCCTTTTTTGCCTTTAATGTGCACTGTGGGCAATAAAGAACAAATATCAGCTCTAATAATTACTGCCCAAAAGAGAAAGTGTGGAAATAAAGAATAATAATTTTTGAACACAAAACATGCTTCCCTTTCTATTAACATATAAGTATCTCACTCTTTACTTCTTTCTCATTTATACATAGTAAATATTTTCTAGAATAACTTGGTTCATCAGGCTATTACCCTTTTTTATCGCCTGCTATATTTCAGGAAAATATTGTCTTCTGGGACCAACCACAGAAAAACCTAATAAGTCATTGAAAAAAACATTTCCTTATTTGTTAGGTATTCTTTTCAGGCACTTAAATACATGCTTAATTTCAAACATATGCTCAAATCCCATGGAAGTGAATCCTAGGCCCCAAGTCCTACCACAAGGCCACCACAATGCTTTTCTTATTACAAGGAAAAGCTGCTTCCTGCAGCGTACTCCTTCTTGACATTTTGAAGAACTTTAACACAATCTAATCTGTCTCTTATTACTGTCACAGAGTTATTCCTTGCAGAACAATCCTATTCTGTGATGCAAAATGGATGACAGTTTATGGAACTGAGCTTTCTGCATGTAGCTTTTATGTGGGGCACACAAATGAGCTTTGAGGCTCTTTTAGACCTAGGATAACATACGTATTTTTGAAGAATAGTCACTCTATACTTACTCTTTATAAATATTTCCCTTACTTGTAGCCTCATGATCTCAGTATAGGAGTGTTTACATTCCTCAGCAAAATTTAGGCTCTGTATAGCTGGACAATTTTTTGCAGCCTTTGTAGCATTGAAAGTACTTGGGTTTCACTGTCACCCAAATACAGATGAGGATCATGTACATACTCTTCAGAGGACATTCATCTCCATGCTTCATGATGCGTAGCTTTGATACTTAGTAGGTGTTGCTTGTCCTAGCACTAATGTACCATTTTAAGAACCTGTTTTCTGAAGTTGAAACGTTTTGAAAATGCAGCTAATAACGGCTATTTCAAAGCTTTTAAGGTGAGAGCGCGTATTAAATGTTCTGTCCCAAACTCCTGCATCTAACACTCCACAGACATTCATCCAATAACATCAGGTAATCCTAGTGACCTTTACCTGTGTTCAGATAAATCGTATTTCTTTGCTCTTGATGTGACTATATCATGAGATAGAAAAATCTACGCCTTTTATTGGCAGACTTTTTTCATCTATAATTGTTTTCTACCATATATTTGGATTTGAAATAGTCATACGTATTGCCATCAGCTGTTGTTGCTATTCTCTCTCTGTTAAGTTAAACAGTCCTTTACAGCCAAAGATATTTTTACGAGGTAGCTATGCATTGCATTAAGTCATTTCTTACCTTTCCTTCAGCTGTCCTATTTTAGTTGAGCTCTGGGAGTTTCTCAGCATAAGGAATTTACTTGAGTTTTCAAGCCACTTGTGTAGCACCTTTCTCTATACCTCGTGGCATATTTTCAAAATATGTTTAAATATGCGTAGTAGAATTTGATGTGGTATTCTGATACTAGTTTCATCAATGCCATCTGTTGAGAGATTATGAGTTTTGTAGAACAATTGTCTTACATTTCTTGAGGTCGTCTAAGTGATCACAATAACTAGATTATGTAAGCCTACATTATCACCATTTGTCTCACCTTCCCCATTTTCTGTATGATTTTACACATTCTCTGGAAGCCTCTCACCTTAAATTACATTGTAACTTGCAAGGACAGGGACTATACTTTCTTTTATATTGGCAGTAGTACATAGCACAACAAGTCTTCATTGAGTACTGGCTGTGCAACCTTCTAATGCAGTAGCAATAAAAATAAATGTTGAAGAAATTCTTTGGTAGATTCAATTTGTATGTCAAATCTTATCCCTTATAATAAATACAAAGTCTATTTTTCTCATTAAAACCTTAAAAATACTTCTATGCTAAATTTCTTTCAATAACACTTTTTTTTTTTTTGCCTATTAGCCATTTCTCTGCAAAGTCTGTGGAGTACTACTTGGAGGTGTGATACATCTTTAATTTTTATGTACTTTTAATTTCTTATATTTTGCCCATTCCATTCTACCTTCTCACTGATCTTCTTTGATTTGGAGACATACAAGTTAATTATAAGCTCTATTTTTACCATTCAGAGCTTTCATATTCTCAGCTGTTCTCAATTATTTTCAAAACATATTTCATGCATAGGTTCACTGTGATATCTTGCATTTTCTATCTGTCTTTCCTCTCTGCTTGATTATTATTTAGTTCTGCCTAGTTTAGCAAAAAGCATGAACTCATATTATTCATATCGCTGCAGTAACTGGCACTGTTAGTTATGATTTTAAAGCGTATTAGCTCTTTTATTTTTCAATTTCATTTGCATCATTTATTTGACCATTTAACTTCTTCATTTCACCTGAATGGTTCAATGTATGTTAATTATGTTTTACACATGTAGAATTCAGCCTCTCTATATTTCCTGAACAAGAAAATATTGTCTGGCTAATTTGCAGTTTTGATGCTAATTTGTCGGCAAATTCTATTAGCTGTCAATCTGCAGAATTTGACTTCTCAGGTTTGAATAACTTGAAACTTTTCAAGGAATGTGTTAAAATCAAACTGCCCAGCTTCTGCAAGTGTCATCACCAATAAATAATGATCCACTGGAAAATCTTGTAAATGAGACTGCATACAGTGATGAACCAATAGTAATAACTCTCACTTTTCATTAGTTTTCAGCTAGTGAGCCATTCATTTCTATGAATGGTTTATTATCACATGAGCAGGATCAGAGGGAAGAGCTTCCTGATTACACACGTATACCAGTGACATCAGAGTACAACAATAATTTTGTAAAAAGCAGTTGACTTCACTAAAGTTACTCTGTTCTCTTCATCCAGAAAATGAGGAGAGAATTTCAGGAGGACATACGTGTTTTGCAAGTCTTTCAAACAGACAGAGGTTCCTCTCTGAGAGATTTAAGACATCTAAAATTTTAACCCCAGCAAAAGGAAATGAGAAAGTGCAAACACCCATTTCACAGGCAGGTTTGTTAGGTTCTCCTCCTCTTTTTGGAAAGGCTCCGTTCTCCGGTTAAGGATCAAAGGCAATGCTGACTGCCTAAGTGACACATCTGTCAGCCTTCTACCTGAATGGCTATGATTAAATAGAGTCTCACAACCAGCAGCTCGCCATGTATCTATTCAGAGTGACCACTGAATGACCAGTCACTCTGAGTGTTTGCAATACAAAAGTTTATGAAGAAATTTGCAGACTAAACTGGCAGAGCACTATCCAGGGCCTTTTTAATTAGCTTCTCATGCTAACCACCCTCCCTCATATGAACAAAACCCTGTCAGTTAAAGTCTTGTGGTACTGAACCACTCTTTCTCCAGCTGTTAGTCCTGCTGGACACACAGTCCTCCCCATCCTGATCCCACTCTCCCCACCTTGCTGGTGCTGCTGGACATGCTGTCCTCTCTTTCCTGGCGCTGGTGCTAGACTCCCTCTGTTTCAGCTGCAGAGCTGTTGGGCTTGGGCTCTCTTCTGGCACTGCTTGGGCTCCTGGCATCTGTCTGCACTCCTGGCACCGCTACATTTTCAGCTGGTTTCTAGGTTCTTAAGCTACTTCCAGAGTCTTCCATGAGTCTCCTCTACTCCTCCCCTACTTTCTTTCTTTCATTCTCCTTATGCCTTTCCTTATTCTGCCCCCTTTCCTCCTTAGGCTTTCTTCACCCCCTCATGTTTAGCTCACTTCATTCTCCTAAGCCTGAAAAAGCTATATAAACATTACAGGAGTAAAATAACAATACAGGAGAAAGGCAATCCATGCTGACCATGGATCAGGGAAGTGGACATAAGCACCCTGAGAACAGATTTGCAAGCTGGAAATAAAAGATGTCTCTCATCACTTAGCAAGTAATTCCAAACGAGAAAAGCAGGGTGGAACAAACATGGGGAGATGACAACTGAATTCATTGCTTGCTTGCTAAAAATATCAGTAATTCATCATTTAGAAATGTATTTTGTTGAAATAAGCATAGACTAACATTAAAAACAGTGAGATCTAAACGTTAGCATTCTAATGCACATCTCACTACTCAGTAAAGAAATATGAGAATAATAAAATTGTTAACAAAAATGAGGAACATATTATTCTGTTTTGGTCTTATACAAACTCTATTTTCTGTATACCATGTAAAGGACTGCAATGCCTCAATATAAGAAGTATACATTTATAATTCCTCTCAATCCTTCCAGGAAGATTTTATTCAATGGTCAGCTTACTTGCTGACTGAAATGCATTGACAAGTCTCCCTTCTAAGCAATTGCCACCGAGACGAAACTGGACGCTGAAAGAACGAAATAAATTTGTAGGTAGATTGTTAGTGCAAGTCTGCAAGGCCAAGCCTGCCTGTAATTGGAGCAATTTATGTATTAAATTATTGAAATAATGAAATGATACTTATCTCCAAAAGCAACAGTCAAGAGAATGTCCTCACTTTTTAACTATGTCAGTAAAAAGGCTTTGTTTATATTGATATGCTCATTATTGTTGGAGGCCAGAAGACTACTACTGTATGAGTAAGAGCTCCCCAGAATTAATATACATGGAGCAAAGTAAGCCTGTAAAAATTATTATCTCATATGGATTATTCTTTCCCCATTTGTGTCCACAGTACATTAACAAATGTATACATGTAAGAAGTGAAAGTCCGTCCCTGGAAGAGATTGCAATCTGAAAGTGTTTAGGGTGATAACTGCTCAGATGTTGACCAAAAAAAAAGTCTGGAACCTGTGTAGTTATTTTTCAACTTTATTGTCATTCATTGGTCAGTTGCAGATAGTGTAGTAGAAATGCATGTCTATTGTGGTAGAAATGCATGTTTATTGGGGTTTAAATGCAGAGAAGGAGGTGACTTTATGGAGACATTCGTACAGGCTTTTTCCCAGATAGGGTACTGGGTAGAAGAAATCGTACGTTTTTTGTCTTACCTATTTGCTAAAATGTCTTCTAAACCACTTGAAAGTGTGCATGTGGTTAGAATTAATTTAAGAGGAAAGCTGACTAATTGTATGACACATTATATCCTTGAAATGTATATTCAGTAAATGCGTTTTTATATGAAGCTGTTCAGTCTGGAAATAGGAAGGCACTTGCCAGGAAAACGGTCTCATGTGGTACCCAGTGAGCAGCCTAATTTGACTTGATTCAGCCCCAGTATTCTGATGGGTTAAAGGAAATTCATTCAAAGTAACTAAATGAATTATCTGTTTTCGTGACTGGACGGCCTTGGCTTAGCACGCCAGAGTATCTGCCTTTATTCATGCAGGCAGGGCTATTGAAGAAAGAACTGATTTTATTAAAAACAAACTATTGAATCTTAAAAGTACTTTGGGAGGGTCAGTAGTGTAAAGTAATAAAAACAATTACTCAATGGGAAAGAGGGAAAAGTGGTTTCACTAAACATCTGTGTAAAGCTGGGCACATTACTGTCTTCTGCAGAAGAGATCAGGCAGCCTTTCCCAGTGTGAGCCTGGCAGTTTTGTGTGGACAGGACACCCGCTTTGTTATTTGTCTTTAATTTCTTCTAAGATTTCCTGTGTGAATAAACAGCTTAAACTGCAGGGACATAATAACAAAAAAAATCGTTTCGCTCCTTTACACTTCTATTTTGAATTTCCTTGTTGTCTAAGTGAAGTCTAAAATATTACATTATTACTCTTTGGCAATCTATCTTGCAAATATGGGTTTCTGTAACAAGCCACTGAACCAAGTATGATGTTTTATTTCTGTCATACAAAAAGCATTTATAGAAGCAAGATATCAGTGCTAGACTGCTCACAGGCTCCATAGCTGCAGCTGCTTTGTATAGGATGATTCTAGAGCAAGGCAGAGGGACTGAATGTGCTGTGACAATCCTCAGTGTAGAAGGTATTGCCATGAGTCTCCTGCGTTTTCAGGCTACTGGCTACTGGACCAGTTCTTGATGCCCAGCACAGCTGGGAGGGAGCTGAAGAAATGTAGAGCAAATAGGTGCAACAAACCATCACTGATTCCAGGACTGGGACTGGAGAAACAGCCTGACAACTGGAAAGTTGAGGATATGGTAGGAGAAATAACCTGGGACTCATCAAAATCACTGTCAGCTGATCTACAGAGTGGTATTCAAAGCGCACTGCTTGTTGCAGAAAGGCTCTTCAGGGCAGAAATTACGTCAGCTTTTCCTTCTTCTTTTATAGCTGCTATTTGTAGCTAGTACCGTAATCTCTGTATATAATAATAGTTCCAATTTTGTTTTTCTAATTGTACCTATTACTCTTTGTTTGTTTGTTTGTTTTTTCAGTTGTAGACTACTGTGCTTTGGATAACCAAGGTTGCCAACATGAATGTGTTAATACTGAGGACTCCTACTACTGTAGATGCCATCCAGGGTTCATTTTAAATCCAGACAAAAGAACTTGCAGAAGTAAGTTATTATAAGGTTTAAATCTGAGAAGTTTGTTCTCCTGCTTTCCAGTTCTTAGCAGTAGTTCTCCCTCTGTTCCTGAGAACAGTGAATAATATGTCAAATATAAAAAATGGTTAGAGTGCCCTTGGAGCCAAAGGTTGTAAAACCGATGAAAGCTTTTGGGGGGCTTGTTTGGGATTTTTTCTGAAAGGACAAGGGTACCTTCTATGGACAGGGAGCTCTTAACATGAGACTAGGATCCTTTTCAGATGGTGAAAGCCAAAAGCTTTATCTTGCAGAGTCATTTTGAAGATCCAGCTTTTACATTTAGAATATCACCTCCCTATCTAGGCAAACAAACAAACCAAAAGAAGATCAGTCTGTACAAAGCAATTTCTCCTCACCTTGGTTTGTAAGACAAGTTTAAATTAAATCGAGCAAGTAGTTCCACCATCAGAAGAACCATTGCAGCCTATTTTTCTTATGAACTTTCCTCAATACTGAGTTGCGCTGTGCATTCTTTGATACCTTTTGCCAACGCTCTGGGGGCATCAGTAGCCTCTACCAAGCTTCCATGTTTCCACCTTATTGTAGCTTTGCTGTTTGTTCCTTGTCATTTTTGTTTGATACTGGGCTAATAATAAATTCAAAAATTAGCAGAGTTGGAGATGGAGAGGAACTGGCAGACCAGAGAATGATTTTACCAAGGCTTCCCTTCCTTGGGAAACCAAGCTAAAAACTCTACATTGTCAAATGTCGTAACTCACTTTCAGGAAACGTGAAGGGAAAATTGAATGTACCTAGTTCTCTTTCTTTATTATTTTGAGCTTTGATAAAAAAACTTTTTTGTATCTGTAAGTACATAAACTCCATTAGCTTTAGGAGAGTGGATCTGCTGATGCTAGTGGTGAATTTAGCCTATATTATTTAATGATGTGAACAAATATTATTTCTCAAAAAATGCATCAATACAGCACTGCATTTCTGTGAGTTTAACAGTCTTGGGGGTACTCTCAGCTTTATGATGAGAGGCTATGCAATTCTCGACTGTATAATATATTATGGTTGGTATGTTTCACTTAATGTTAACTATGTAAAAAGAAAGCATCTAATCGAGGCTGGGCATCTGACCTTATGATCAAGGAAAAGAGACATGAACTGCTAGAACATGATTTTTTGCACCTCTCTGAGATACATAGTTATGGAAGAGCCTACATTTTCCTTGATTTTGCAGAAAGTATGGATATGACTTGCCACACTAGACATCTAATTGTTGGATGGCTAAAATTAGGGGAGACGAATCTCACTTTTCCCCATGGGCCAAAGTACAGCTGATGCCAGTTCATGTTGCTTGTAGCTTATACGCACTAGCCGCTTTGTCAGTGTCTCTCAGCTAAAGGCTAGCTAAATTCTCTTATACTTCCACATATATTTCCACATTTATGTAGTCTGGAATAATCTTAGTATAATATAAGTGCTTTCCAATGCCCAAGCAAAAATTCTTATTGATTCCTTCAATTTTAAAAGGTAGATTTTAAGTAGTGTTTTCTCCCCTAGTTTGAAGTGATCCAAGATCTTACAACTATATGAACATTTTATAAGTCTTCAGTTGTTTTTTGCTTATGGTCTAATCCTATGAATCATTTTAACCTGTTTAAAATGATGAGTCACAGACTGCTGGAAGCAGAGAGAGTGTTCTGGGAAAGTAGTATTTCAGGTTTGTCCTGTCCTTACCTGCCTTAAACACGTATTGCTGGAGACAGGATATTGAGCTATATAGACTTTCAGTTTGACCATGTGCTTCTGCTCTTATATCAGAAGAATAAGTACTTATAAGTGTTGGTTGGAAGGAACCTCTGGAGGTCATCTACTCCAGCCTCCCCTTCAAAGTGGGACTATCACAAACCATAAACGAGGTCAGCTATGGTTTTGTCTTGCTGAGTCTTGAAAAGCTCCGCAGATGGAGATTTCAAAACCTCTCTGGGAAACCAGTTGCAGTGCTACGCTACCCTCCTAGTGAAAAGCTTTTCACGAATGTCCAGCCTGAATCACCCAAGCCATAGGTCATGACCATTGCCCCTTGTTATATCATCTGGCACTACCAAGAAAGGTTTAGCTCCATCACCTTTGTAACTGCTAACAGCAAGTAGTTGTAAGCTGCTATTAGATACCTTCTTCTCCCCTCAAGCTATCCTCACTAATCACGTGCCCTGTGCCCCTAACAGTCTTAGTAAGTCCCTGTTGGACCTTCTTCAGTTTCTTCTCTTGAACTGGAGGTGGTGGGAAGGCTAGGGGATTGGGGGGGGAAGTGGAGAGATGCTCTAAAAATGGACAAAGTATGTCAAGAGCAACCTCACCACTACTGAGTAGAGAGGGATAGTAACTTATTTCAATCTGCTTGCTATGCATCCCAGTATGAGGTTTACATTATTTGTATGGAAAGCACACTTTTGGCTTATATTCAATCCTCATACCTACTATAAACCTCGAGGTCCTTTCTCCCAGAGCTGCTGCTTAGCCAGTGTCAAGGTCTGGAGAGCACCACCAGGCCTCTACTGTCCCTGCTCACTTCCTTGGGGCCTCTCCACCCCTACCCAGGCCTAGGACCCCATTTCACCCCAGCCCAGGGCTGTCAGTCCCTGCTCCAAGATGCTATAGCCCTTCTCCTGCCTGGCCACAGGCTCTGCCAACCCTAACCCCGACCCACAGGTAACCGCCCAGCCTCAGCCTGGCCTCAGCCTCAGGGTCTCAAGCTGCCACAGGAATCCCCCTTGGCTTCTGGCTCCCCATCCTTCAGGGAGCCTCCAGCCCTCGCTGTACCCTAACAGCCAGTTGCTTCCCAGTCTGTACAAATCCAAGGTGTTCCTGCCCCATGTACAAAACTTTGCAATTCTTTAGCTGAACTTTGTAAGATTTCTGATGGTCCAATCCTCAAGTTTATCAAAGTTCTGCTTTTGGAGAACTTTGGAGTTGTATTGGAGTTGTAATATTTGCTTTAAGTCACTGTTCCTAATTTAGCGTCATCCACAGATTTGTTGAGGGTGCACTTTGTGTCGTCATCTATGTCACTGATGAAGGTGTTTAGCAGTATGGGCCCCAGTACTGTCCCTGTGGTACTCTCCTCCTTAGCAGCAGCAGCCAGCCAGATGTCAAGCCATTTATTGCTACCCTTTAAGGCTCCTGGTCTAACAAATTTTCATGCCATCTAACAGTCCATTTTTCCAGCCCATACTTCACCAGCTTCCCAGTGAGAATGCTGTGGGAGACAATCTCAAGAGCTTTATTAATGTCAAACTATATTATATCCACTGTTCTCCCCTGGTCCTGAGAGCCAGGCGTTTCATCTTTGAAGATGATCAGGTTGATCAAGCATGATTTGTCCTTGCTAAATCCATGTTGACTTTTCCTGATTATCTTCTTGTCTTTCACATATTTGAAAAGGGATTGCAAGAGAATACACTCCACAATCCCAGGACTGAGACAGGGCTGACTGACCCATAGTTCCCTGGGTCTTTCTTCTTGCCTTTTTAAAGATGAGTGTAATGTCAGCCTTTTTCAGTTATCAAGGACCTCTGTCAGTCCCAATGAATATTCATAGATGATAGATGGTGGCCTCACAATCACATCAGCTCGCTCTTTCAGCACTCCCAGGTAAGCCCCAGTCAGGACCATAAATCTCTAAGTACTCTCTAAGCTGTGTTGCTTGAGCCTCTCCTTCCTAGACTGTGCTGGGAGCAGGTTTTACCTGTGAGAACCAGGAATAAAAAAGGCATTGAGTACTTCAGCCTTTTCTGTATCATTCGTTACTAGATTGTTCCCCCTTCCAACAGCGGTCCCACGTTTTGTCTGAATTTCTTTTTGCTACTAGCATACTTGTAGACTCCCTTCTTATTATCCTTAGCGTGCCTTACTAAGCATAATGCCAGCTGGGATTTGGTCTTTCTGATTTTGTTCCTAAGTGCCTAAGCAATGCTTTAATACTCCTCTTTTCCCTTGGTCCTTGTTTCTACCTCTGCTAGTCTCCCTTTTTGCATTTTAGTTCATTGAGAAGCTCCTTGATTCTCAAGGAAGCAGATCTTCTACCGCAACAGTATTGTTTGTTCCTGAGCTCTTACTAAGTTTTCTTTAAAAAACATCTAGTTCTCCTGGGCATCTAGTTCTCTTCTTGGCTCTTTCACAGGGGATTCTTCCTAGCAATTTCCTGAACAAGCTGAAATCTGAGCTTGTAAAGTACAGTCTTAACTCTGCTCTTTCGCCTCTCAGTCTACATTTTGAAATCAGTAGTTTCATGGTCACAGCATCCCAAGCTGCCATCCGTGATCACATCACCACCAGTTCTTCCCTGTTTGCAAGTAGCAGGTCTGGCATTGTCCATCTAGCGTTTGTGTTAGGAAATTGTCACCAAGACAGTCTAGGAACCTCCCAAATTGCCTGCACAATGTCTGTTGTCTTGCTCTTCCAGCAGGTGGTTAGATGGTTGAAATTCCCAACGTGGACAAAAGCCTGTAATGTGGAGACTTCTGCTAGTAGTTTGTAGAAAGTCTTATCCACTACATCCTTTTGGTCAGGTGGCCTGTAACAGACACCACCACCACCACCCTGTTCCCTGTTCCTGCTCTGATCTTGATCCAGAGACTCTCAACAGGCACATATTTGGTTTCACATTGGACCTCTGTGGAGCTGAGGAGCTCCTTAACATATAGCACAAAAGTGGACTGATCACATCTTTGGAGCTAAGGGAGCCAAGGGTGAAAGCAGGGCAGGCAGGGTCAGTAAGCTCTCTGACAAAGCATGCAGTCCTACAGTACCCAAAGAAGAGCAAAACAGGTCCTGTGACAGTAACCAGGCTAAGCCAACAGTCCAGTGATTACCAGACAAGTCCATAGAGACAAGAGAGGTCCAAGGTCAAGCCAGGAAGTCAAGTCAGCCGTTCGGCAAGCCAGGATCAGCAAAGTGAAAGGTTGGGCACAGGCATACCTATCACATAGCTCAAGCAAGAACCAAGGGGAAGGGCTTTAGCTTTAATGCAGCTCCCAAGCAAATGGGCAGAGGCTGCAGACAAGGCTTCTTACAGCTCTGAATGTCTCTGAACACAGTGACCATGTTATGACTGTTTTGTTATGACTGCTTTAAATTAAGCTAAAACTAAGGGGAAAAAAATACCATCAGGTTGTGATTTGAGAAGAACAAAATGGCTGGGCATACTAGGACATAGGGATTGATTCAAAAGCACTAGTCAGGGAAGGACAAGCAAACACTATGCAAAATCATTCTCATTCAAGACACATCTTCTGAATCTAAGCATAAATAACACTTATTAAGGCACTTTTTCTCACACTTGATATCTTCTGAGCCTTACTAATAAAATAAAACATGAAGAAAGGAACTGGATAGCTTTTAACGCTGCAAAAGTTAAGACATGAGATCCCTTCAGGGCAAAAGTGTGCCTGAGTTCCCATATGTTATGAATCAGGCTGGCTTTCAGTCAGCATAAACATGAAGGAAGAAGCTTCTGATAGCTTTGTTTGTAAATGTAAAACCTTCAACATAAATTTCTACAAATTTGGCTTACATACTGAATCTCAGGGACAACTGCCAACTAGCCAACACTCACACTCACGCCAGACCAGAACACTTGCATCAGCAAGTAGGTCTAGGCCTCGGGCTACAGCTCCCAGGCCCTTGTGATTATCTCAGCCTCCTGGCTTTCCTTTCAAGATAGAAAGTAAGCTGTAGTAAAGAAAAGCTTGAAAATGTAAATGTTATCAGTACTGTCATACATGTCTTACAAATATTTTCACTGGGAATCACTCCAACCTTTTCTGAGTGAAATGCAGGGAACTTGGCTCATGAGAGGAGCCCTGCCAAACACCAGCAGAGTATTTTGTGCATGGCAGAAAGAGAGGGGAGCAGCAAATCCAGATTGTCAGTCAAGCAGGTGGAGTTAATTCCTTTCTGCTAAGTTACCTGTTAGGTAAGAGGACTCTTGCCACTACTGCTGCGTCCTTCAGGAGAACAGATGGTGCCTTCTGCTTGTATTTAGGGGATGTGAGTCCCAATTGTTGTTCTTTAGCAGGGCAAGGAGTTAGAAAGGCCCCTGTTTGAGTTGTGGGTAGGTTCACATAAACTGTAGCTGGTGAAGGCCTTCGGTTAGCATCATTAATCTTGACTGTGTTAATGAAGCCCTGTGAAACGTGTTTCTAGTGTTCCCAACATAATAGCCTCAAGGTTCCAACAGAGATAATAACATAATTTTTTCATCTTTTGTGGTCATCTTGATGATCAGTTACCCAGGAAAAGTCTGTCTTGCGTTTTGGATATTCTGGAATTAGCAAAGATTTGAGCAGGTAGGTGCAACACAACATTGTGTAAATATACTAATTTGGGTTCAGAATGCATACACTTCTATTCCTGTGGTGCACACACATGGCTTTATGGCTTCTGCCTCTTCAAGCAAATTAGCTTTAGGAACCAGCTAAGGTCTGTGTTGTGTATATGTGTGTGTGTATATGCCATCATAAACAGCTTTGGAAAAGAAAGTGTTCTTGGGGAAAGAAAGTACATAAAGTGGAATTCATATGGGATAAAACGCACGAGTGCTGAGGGAGCTGGCGGATGTTATTGCTAGGCCACTCTCCATCATCTTGGAAAGGTCTTGGAGAACAGGAGAGGTGCCTGAGGACTGGAAGAAAGCCAGTGTCACTCCAGTCTTCAGAAAGGGCAAGAAGGAAGACCCAGGGAACTACAGGCCTGTCAGCCTCACCTCCCTCCCTGGAAAGGGGATGGAACAGCTCATCCTGAAGGTCATGTCTAAGCATGTGGAGGACAAGAAGGTGATCAGGAGTAGTCAGCGTGGATTCACCAAAGGGAAATCATGCTTGACCAATCTGATAGCCTTCTCTGATGGGATGACTGGCTGGGTAGATGAGGGGAGAGCAGTGGATGTTGTCTACCTGGACTTCAGCAAGGCTTTGGACACTGTCTCCCATCACATCCTCCCAGGTAAACTCAGGAAGCGTGGGTTGGATGAGTGGACAGTGGATTGAGGTGGATTGAGAACTGGCTGGATAGCACAGTTCAGAGGGTTGTGGTCAGTGGCACAGAGTCTAGTTGGAGGCCTGTAGCTAGCGGTGTCCCCCAGGGGTCAGTCCTGGGTCCAGTCTTGTTCAGTGTATTCATCGATGACCTGGAGGAAGGGACAGAGTGCACCCTCAGCAAGTTTCCTGATGATACTAAACTGGGAGGAGTGGCTGACACACCAGAAGACTGTGCTGCCATTCCGAGGGACCTGGACAGGCTGGAGAGATGGGCAGAGAGGAACCAAAGTTCAGCAAAGGCAAGTGCAGGGTCCTGCCCCTGGGGAGGAATAACCCCATGCATCAGTACAGGCTGGGGGTTGACCTGCTGGAAAGCAGCTCTGCAGAGAAAGACCTGGGAGTGCTGGTGGACAACAAGTTAAGCATGAGCCAGCAGTGTGGCCTTGCAGCCAAGAAGGCCAATGGTCTCCTGGGGTGCATTAGGAAGAGCATTGCCAGCAAGTCAAGGCAGGTGGTCCTCCCCCTCTCCTCAGGCCTGGGGAGGCCACATCTGGAGTACTGGGTCCAGTGCTGGGCTCCCCAGTCCAAGAGAGACATGGCACTACAGGAGAGAGTCCAGTGGAGGGCTGCAAAGATGATGAAGGGACTGGAGCATCTCTCCTGTGAGGAAAGGCTGCGAGAGCTGGGCCTGTTTAGCCTGGAGAAGAGAAGACTGAGAGGTGATCTCATCAATGTGTACAAGTATCTGAAGGGAGGGTGTTGAGAGGATGGGGCCAGTCTCTTCTCTGTGGTTCCCAGTGACAGGACAAGAGGCAATGGGCAGAAACTGAACCACAGGCAGTTCCATCTGAACTTGAGGAAAAACTTCTTTCCTGTGAGGGTGACAGATCACTGGACCAGGTTGCCCAGAGAGGTGGTGGAGTCTCCTTCCCTGGAGATATTCAAAACCCTCCTGCATGCGATTCTGTGCAATATGCTCTGGAGGACCCTGCTTGAGGAGGGGGGGTTGGACTAGATGATCTCCGGAGGTCCCTTCCAACCTCAACCATTCTGTGATTCTGTGAATATTCTCAAGCTTTTTTATAAAGTCACATTCCAGTTTATTTGTCCTGAAAATATAATTTTTTATCATCATACATAAAGGCAAGTTGCATTTGGTCCCCATGCATATAAGAAAAGAACTGTCTGCCTCAGGAAGCAAATTGCCTCTGGAATTACAAAGTCTCTGAATGTCAGTTACGGTTCTTTGGTAAGGTATTCAGAAGTCCCTGGATGTCTTTAAAAACATTACTTTCTTGATTTCTCACTTTTTTATCTTTTTAGCAGTATTGGAGGATCGAGACCATTCTTTTACTAGTGCAAGTTAGTTAACTCCACTGGTGTAAAACTAAGTGATGGCCAGACACCATATCTAAGTAAATGTCAGATTCCTTGACTTCATTAATAGTGTTAGACCCTATGGGGTACTGGTCTCAATGATTACAGCAGCTATTGTTCTTCTCTAGGGTACTTTACATGCAAGTAGTAGCTGTTGCTAGAATTTGAGTGTCTTTCTGCTCATGAACATTTAAAATGGGAGAACTATATAGCAAACCGTTAAAACATTGACACTCCTGATGAAGTCCTGATTTGATCTAGTGACTGCAGCTCAAAAGCATGCTTGTGAATTTGTTTTAGATCGTATCTAACTTACTCTGAGTAAAATAAAGAGGTAATTTGTTAGGATAAAAATGAGACAACTTTGTAGGATTCAGCCGCATAATGTCAAGGAATATTTATGGTGCTAATTTCTGTACTGCATGTTGTACATGTATTCTCCAAGAATTCATTCAAGTAATGTGCATAGCACTTCAAGGTATACTTAAGCATGGCAGATACTTGTAAAAAAGTAACATTAAAGTAACATTGTAAAAAAGGAACATTATATTTTCATGTTCTGAAACAATATGGGGAGAAGTCAGAATGGTGCCTAGAGAGGTAAGCAAAAGTAAATGAGGTATCTGTTTTTCACTTAATTTATTTCTGTATGCTCCTCACTGATGTTTTTTTTTTTTCCCAATTTAGGACCAGACTATTGTTCTCTGCAGGACCATGGCTGTGAACAGGAATGTGTTAATACAGATGATTCCTATTTTTGTCGATGCCAAGAAGGGTTTACACTTAATCCAGATAAGAAAACATGCAAAAGTGAGTAATTCTTTGGACCTAATAAAGTTCATCTGCTTTTATTTGTTAAACCTGCTGTGAATGGTTTCCTTTCTGGCAAGATGGAATTTTTCTCTATAATTAAGGCTGAAACAAATCTTTCTTTGGGAACGTGAATTTTAACCTCAGCTAGTCACGCTGGAAAGAAGAATACAGTTTGCTGTTGCATGGACTAGATTGTATATTAGACTTTTTCATAAGAGATTTATGGGAACATGAGGAATAATATAGGAAGGCAGTGGCTCAAAACTAAGAAGTTCACTACTTACTTGAGACATTCTGACCTTGTTTTGTAGTGACACAAACAGCTGTTTTTTAAAATTTCCCTCTGCTTGGCTGAGTTGGTCTAGCCATGGACATACATCTACATACTGCAGAAAGAACTTTGTGTTACAGCTCTTCTTGAGTGGGAACCTAGAGTCACAGCAGATTTTTCCTGTGGTGGTCTTAACGTTGAACGAGCACATATTCAGTAAAAAGAACAAGCTTGACCTAGTGGCCCAGTAGAACTGAGGTGGGGGGATTATATCACTGATATGTTATGAATAAGAAGCTTGCCTAGAGCAACACGATTATATTTTTAGGCTCTCATAAAATTTATCTGTTTCTGGAACTGTATTTTCTTTCAGTCTAAAAGATGCTTTCTCATGAAGAACCTTTGTCTACACAGTGTTTTTTACAACAATCCCTGCTACCATGTTCTTTATTATCTACATGGTATTTTAACACATTCAAGATTTTAAAGAATGGATGTGCTTGGCAAGCGTAAGACCAAAAGACCTAGTATTATCTAGCATATTTATTGCCAAGGTTGTAATTGTGAACTAAAGACAAACTGCAATTCTCATTTGGGATATTTTTCCTTAATTTCCAGGGGCTTTGGATCAGGCTGTAAATCCGGTGACATTTTCAGAATCAAGCTGCTATTCCAAAACTTTTTTATAAGAAGGCTAATGTTGTATTAGCTTGTAAAATAAAGCAGAAAATCTGCAGATAGGCCCTCTTTATGAATCAGGAAGAATACATCATTGTCTACAAGCACCAGACATTCCTCCTTGCCTGTGATCAGTTTTGATGACTACAGAAGCAGGAGTATGGGAGTCAAAAGTCTTGCCTAGTCAAGCAGTAGCAATCAGCCATCAGATCAGCTGCTATCCACAGCTTAAGCAGGTGCCCAGAGAATCCAGTCCCATTTTAGAAACATGGACTTTTCTAAACCATTTTTTTGGAAGTCCTGATATTGGCTTGAACTCTTCAATGCTATTCTCTCTACAGAAGTAAACTTCTGTGCTTTAGGTCACTATAGCAATGAATATGAATGTGTTAGCACTGAAGAGTCATTGGTATGCAAATGTCATCCTGGGGAAGCCCTAAGACATGATGGTAAAACGTGCAGAACTGAGTGTTCCTCACAAACTAACTAGTTGCTGCAGTGAGGTGAGGTGTGAAAAGGAGGAGAGAACACTCACAGATCCCTTTTGAGATCTCCCTGAACTATGTAAATCTCTAGTACTGTAAAGTCTACTAAGAGCCAGCCCTAATGAAGTAAAGCTGGAGTAAGATCCCTCATCCAATAGAGAACCAATGCATCATCTTCTAGAATTCAAATAACTGGAAAAATGTATTCAGCCAAGGTGTCTAACACAAAGGCAGTGCTTACTATTAAGCACCTGTAACATTGCTAACATGCCATTTAAACTGCAGCACACCTAATACTAATGGTGATTTGTACGGGCTTCTTCCTTCCGTATGTTTACACTGTCAGTAATTGTCTGATAAAATGCTCTCTGTTAATAAGAACATTAGAAAAACCCAACAACGTTACCCGTTTGTAGTCACCCAGTTTTCAGAAGACGCTTTTTTCCCGAGAATGATTTTGCATACTTAACACACAATCTAAAATATTGGTAGCATTTTTCTCTGATGAACTTATGACAAAGGAGCACTCAGTTACTGAAAATAAGAAAGTAGATAGGTCAAGGGTAATTATTTTTTAAATAAACTATTGATGACAAAGCCATGTTTAAGGAAACACGTTTTATATATGTTAGGTGCACAGTTTGGTTTGAATTTTTTTAGGGGGGCAAGAACTCAGCACTTTCTAAAAATTAGATGTTTTTAGGCTGTCACAAGTTAAATATTTAAAAATAAATATATCCCATGACACCAATTACTTTTGAAAATATATCTGCTTTCTCTTCCTCTGTCTCGTTCCCTGTCCCTTTCCCTTCCCTTCCTTCTTACGATAATTTTTACACATACATGTATCAAATCATTAAATCAAATTTATAGTTATATTAGTTTCTGAAGCCTGGCAATTAGCAGCTTTCAGATTATTCCACTCCTTGAAAGAG